CCCCAATTATCGAGCTGACTATGCTGCTGTCTGTCCACTTTCCCTGTGGTATGAAATCAGAGCACCCAGAGAAAAACCACGACTTTTGGCCGATGTTGACCGACTCTTTTCACACGCGTGGGCCTGACGAGAGAATGAAAGCCACAATCCCATAGGTGAAAGGTGTTCAATTGCTCCAACGACTGCGCCACTGAAACCGCTATTTGTTATCCACATTTGCAATTTCCATTCATGCAATACGTTATTCTTATTTGTAAGTACAATGCTTTGAATCTGTGGTTTAAAACTAAAATGATAACAAGGAGGCCCTCAAAGGGTGACAAGGCATAGGGAGTGGGAAATGACATTATGTGGAGGGTGCAAGATGATACACATACTAGAAAATTTCAATATTCATCTTTGGTTCTGACCAGTGCTGAATTCTAAGTTTTTTTTAATGAAAGGATGTGGGATGAAGTAGTCAGATTACTAAAATCTATACCATGTATTACCTAACTCTACAGTTGCAAAGGACTTTCCAGGTTATGATATGCAATCCATAAAAATATAAGAAGTATGTTGATCAACAAGTTGCTTCGATCATTACTGATCTAGCTTATAGATACTGTTGGTAACTGTTAGGCTGAGGCGGTTTTTCCAGTATACTGGAAAATACCGGAGTTTTTGGAAAAAACAGGCTTTTCGGTTTTGCCAAAGTCCAAGTACCGAAAAACCGGAAAAAGACAAAAAACTGGGAAAAAACAAGATAAAAATGGCAATGTTTTCAGCTAATCCTAGCTGAAAACTTGTAAATACATTCTTTTAACATTGTTTCCTTACTTGTATTTTTATACCTATGTAAGCTTTTTTATATTAAGCATCTAATACCAAAATTCTTCACATAATAAAAACATGCGCTACACGGTTTTATGTCTGTATGTTATTCATAGATTAATACTAATAGTTACTGTTTAACTTAGGTAAAGTAATTAGTACAAACTTTATTTGTAAGTTCTTTACAGTGCATCGTATTAAATGGCTCACAATTGTATTGAATAATAAAGCGTCTATACCTCATTAATTATTAACTTAATACACAAAATCAACAACGACCCTGTTAATTTGGGAGTTTGACTTGGCGGGCTTCTTAATGTACTACACAGTTGACCCTGTTGGCCGAATGTGGTGGAATGGTATGCATATTGCAGAGTCTGGCCATCTCTGTGGGGTCGGACTGTCTGTGTTTTCAAAATTTGGAGAAGAACTAATTCAAGTATTCAAGATTAAACCAAAATATTTGAAAAGTATAGTTTCAATCTGTTCAAGCAACCACTCCATGCTAATTGGCTAAGCAAATTAATTGAAACATGCAACTTGTCACAAACAGAAATATTAAAAATGTAAGTTTATAACATCAAAGTTTTAACAAAAGTTTTTATCTCTGAATGTTCATCACATTAGATCCAAACATCAGTATTCCTGATAATCAATGATCATTCATACTTACATGTTTACGATGTTTTGTTAAGTTGTCATTTTACAAGTTAATCAACTGTCTGATACACGGTGGAACCATTAATTTATCAGATGGCCATCCTTTTCGTACCGTTTCCAACAAACACTTCAACGTTTGGTCTTTTCTGGTCTCTTCTTTCATTCTATTTAACGTACAGTCTGACATCATGGCTCGTTTTAAACCCATCTGCTCCAGCTCAACTCGAAATACCATTTCTGACTCCAACTCCACCGCGCAATTTTCTTTTAATGCTGCCTGTAACGAAGTATCTGCAACATAAAGTTCTTTCCCTCTTTTATACACAACTTCAAAATTATACTGCTGTAGTTGAAGCATCATCCGTTGAAGCCTTCGAGGTGCCTTACCAAGTGGCTTTTTAAAAGTTGTTTCTAAAGGTTGATGGTCCGTTTGCACAATAATGTCATGTTTACCAAAGAGATACTGATGCCACTTCTTCATACTTGTCATGATAGCCAAACACTCTTTTTCAATCTGTGCATATCGTTTCTCTGTATCTGTTAAAGTGTGTGACGTAAAACAAACTGGTTTTTCTTCTTGTATAAGTACCCCACCAATAGCTTCATCCGACGCATCCACTTGTAACGTAACTGGAAGTTTAACGTCATAATAACGCAAATTTGTGCTTGATGCAATAAGATCTTTAGCTGCGTTGAAAGCCTTTTCTTGCGAATCTGATCAATTAAATTCAACGTTCGGCTTGACTAGATTCCTTAACGGCAACACTGTTTCACTTAGATTTGGACACAATTTTGATAAATAATTACACATCCCCAAAAAAAACGCTGTACCCCAACTTTATCAAGAGGTCTTGGCATCTCCCGAGCTGCGCTAACCTTTCCCGGATCTGGGCAAATTCCTTGATCAGTTAATTTGTGTCCCATAAAAGTTACTGTAGTGGACTTGAATTGCATTTTTTTCACGGTCAACCTAAGATCTTGTTCTTTACATTTATCTAACAAAGCGATGAGATTTTTATCATGATCTATATTAGCTTTTTCCTTTGTATCACCCCGTCCTAAAACACATATATCATCTGCTATATTTATAACACCGTCCAACCCTTCAAGGAATTCTTGTTGTCTTCTTTGATATTCCTCCGGACCTGATGAGATGACGAAAGGCATTCGCTTATATCGATTCCGTATGTTTGGACCCTTAAAAGTTGTTAATAGTGACGGTTCGTAATCCAATTCAACATTATGAAATGCCTCTGAAACATCCACCACTGTGAATACTTTAGCACTTGTCAGAAAAGGCAATTTTTCTTCAATAGTTGGTATAGTGTAGACAGGTTTTCTTACTGCCTTATTTACAGTCCGACTTGAAATTCGAATTCTCACGTCTGGTTTTTCTCTCACCAACATATTAGATAACCATTCTGTGGGATGCGTTACTTGAGCTATCGTGTCTTCTTCACACAATCTTTCCAATCCTTATTTACTCTTTCCATTTTGGCTACGGGGATTCTTCTTCGTGGGCTTTAATTGTACTGGAGGAATACTTTGGGGGCCAAGGTCGCCGTTATTATGTGCAACATTGTGCGACATTAGGCGACGTTGGCAATTTTCAAAGAAAAGTAGTGTGCGACGCTGGGCGAAACTGGGCGACATTGGGCGACATTGGACAAAACTGAACAGCAATATCAAGATAATGTCAAATATTCTAATTCACAAATTATGCATCTACATAAAAAATACAACAGTAAATATCAAAATATAATTTAGTTATCAAAAATTGGTTCCTGTGGCAAAGAACACAATTAGTTTATTACAAATATTTTGCAAAAGTATGAACAAGCAACATTTCTCTAAATGCTAGCCTGACAATTTACTCAAAGTTTATACCGTAGTACACATACATGCCCAGTGCATGGTACATTTACAGTATCATGGAACTCTGACTTCTTATTAAATTGACTGGTGTAAATACCTCATAGAGTTTTAAAACCTGTTTATGGACTGTGGTATGCAGTGATGGAAGTGGGCAAGGTGCTAATAAATTTGCTCGCTTAAATGTAAGCCAATAAACTTGTGTTTTAACCAATCATATTAACTTTAAACGTTAGTTGAGAGGCTTTCAACAGTTGCAAACTTTTTATTGGTATAGTTTTCTTGTAGTTATAGTATAAATTATAAAGTTAATATGTTCAAGTGTACTGTGTACGTACATTACTACATCGTGGTGTTTGGTATTGGGTTTTTTATTAATAAGTAAGTAAATCACAAAATAACGACGAAAGTACCTTGTTTGATGTATTTCCAGCAAGAAACAGATATAAATTAATAAATAGAAACAAGAATTGAATTCACAAAAGTTTATATTCGTGTATTCGTTAACATAAAAGAAATGGCGGCTGAGATTTGAGCCCGCAATACCACGGCACGTCTAATTTAATGGTTTAGCTTCTAACTTGTACTACTTCGTGTAAAGAAACATAATAATTGATCATGGCGGGCTTTGGCGACATTTTATAATAACCTGCACCGTAGATCTTTCTGTGGTGCATCCATTGCTCTGTATCTTTTGCGATGATACCTAATTACGAGATGTCGATCATCGTAGCTTCGTCGAAAAGTAAGTAATTTTATTTTACAAACTACAAAGTCGTATTTTGAACATACTATAGATGACTTTCTTTATTTATAGTCTATATATGTACTATTTAAAACACGAGTAGGAGTGTTTTATCAGATATAAAATGCGAGGCGCAGTCGAGCCGTTTTATATCTGATAAAACACGACAACGAGTGTTTTGAATAGCTTAGAATACGACTACAAAAGAATACTAAATAGGATGAACCATTATATAATAATGCTAATTAGGATGAACAATTATACATGATGTGTTTTATCAGATATAAAGTCACTCCGCGTGACATATTATAGCTGACATGATTTGCCACAAGGTTTATGAATTATTAATGAGTATTTTAAATAGTACATATATAACTACAGACGGTACTGTTTCGGCCTTTAGGATACGTAGTGTACTTCACTGGGCTAGTGAGAGGTATTCTGTACTTTAGCACTCGCCAGTTATCATGAATGTATCTTTGATAATAAGATCTAAGTTTGATTTCATATACAACAT